GCCCCTCCCTCTGGGCCGGGAGCGGTGGGAGGGATGGTGGCCCGGAGGCCCCTTCCTCTGGGCCAGGAGCAGCAGGACAGAAGGTGGCCCAAAAGCCCTTTCCTCTGGGCTGGGAGCAGTGGGAGGGATGGTGACTGGGAAGCCCCTTCCTCTGGGCCAGGAACAGTGGGACTCAGTACCTTGGTCTGGTGGTCTGGTGCCCTCTGCTTCTTTCTAGTGTGGAATCAGGTGGCTGCCTGTCTGCAGCAGGGTGATTCGGTGTCTTCCGCGTGGCTCAGGACCTCAGTAGGGCGTGCACAGACCTGCCTGTCTGCAGCGGGCTGATTCGACATGTGTTCTGCGGGACTGGGGACCTTGGTAGGGTGCCTGTGTGTGGTTTTTTGAGACAGGGTCTCACTATGCAGTCCAGACTGGCCTCAATCTCATGGCAATCTTCCTGCCTCAGCCCCCTGAGTGCTGGGATTACAGGTGTGTGCTACCACACTCTGTGAGAGTTTTGTTACTGAGTGATGGCTATTTGGAACTATTTTTAAAAATGAGATGCAAGGGCCAGGGATTTAGCTCAGTGGTTCTGCCGCCTCCCTCTCAAGTGCAAGGTCCAGAGTTCGATCTCTGGTACCCCCCCCCCAAAATGAGATGCTTGTTCGTATCATTGGGTTTCAGTGATGGTGAAGGAGGATTGTGGTATGAGCCAAAATAAGTCTCTCCTTAAAAAACATGAATGACAGAGCTCATGGAGATAGGAAGCAATAAGATTCAATCACAGGATGAATTTGCTTTGTTTCTGAGATCAGATGAGATCAGGTGCATTCAGAGTGGTACGGCCATAGAGGAATTTACTTAGTGATTGATGACTGATGTATAAGTTTGTATACTCAGAGCTATCAAATTAATCATTAATGAAATATCATTACAAAGTAACATTGTATTGCTAATATATAACTCATCTACCCTTCAACTTCCTTTTTTTCTCCTGGAGACAATAGTGGGGTTTTTAGGGAGGTGGCTATCATGTTACATAACAGCCCGTACACTGGGGACAACACAAATGAATGAAACATTTTCCTGTTTTCCTTTGCAGGGAAGATGGAGGAGCTGAGTCAAGCCCTGGCTGGTAGCTTTTCTGTGTCCCAAGATCTGAACAGCACGGCCACCCCCCACCCCCGCCTGTCCCAGTATAAGTCCAAGTACAGCTCCTTGGAGCAGAGCGAGCGGCGCCGCAGGTTACTGGAGCTGCAGAAATCGTAAGGGTCCTCAAACTCCAGCTTCCTCCTCAGCCTGGGGGCTGGGCGGCATCAGGGATCTAGGCTTATCTCTGCAGAATGCCTCCCAGGAGACCTTAGTAGGCTGATGTTCCTGTCCGCAAGGTTGGGAAGGTCAAGCCCAGCAGAATTTTCTATCCTTTATCCTTTATCCCCAGAGTTTAGGACAAGAAGAGATAATAGGAAGGGACTGAAGTTTGAAAGCAAAAGTTCAATTATTTGGTTAAAAAGTGCTATTTTTCCTGGCAACAGAAGTGAGCTTTGCAGTTTAGGGACTTATGAATGCCACGCCTAGACTTCTATCCCCACATTCCTGGGTTGCTGATGTGTGGCTTCTCCCACACGCCATCCTGGAATTGGTGTGGTCTTCCCAGGCCTTTAGCCCATGTGTTTCCATGGAGCCCTTGGGAGCTGACTCCGAGGAAGTCTCTTCCGGTCTTCATTTTAAATGCCAAAGGGGCAGACGGGAAAGAGCTGCAGAGGAACATTTGAGAACGAGCCGCTTGGAAGACATGGCCTGTCCTTTTATTCCTAGTGTGCTGCAGGGCTCTTCTGGATTATAGAGTAAGGAACTGGGGATTAAGAGAACCTATTAAGAGCTGCAGTTTTCAAGTCATGATGCCTTTGCTCAGCACTACATCATCAGAGAGGTTAACAGATGCTCCTATGGCCTCGGGTTGCTTGTAGTAGATCACATTCCCAGGCAACTCTTCTCTATTCCTTCCTTTTTTTCATTGTAATGTATTATTTTGGAATAGATTTCATATGGCTCAAAATATATGGAAAAGAATATGCTGAAAAATCTCCCTCTGCTCTGTCCCAGCTCCTGTCCTGAATTACTAGTTTTTTATGTACCTTTCTGAAGATATTCTGTACAGAAATGATCAGTTGTATGGATATATGACCTTTCCCAATTTTTATTTTTTGCAGTGCTGGGGACTGTCCCTAGTACCTTGTGCATGATAGGCAAGTGTTCTACCACTAAGCTACATCCCCAGCCTAGCATTTTTTTTTTTTCTTTTCTTTTTTTGGTACTGGGAATCAAACTCATGGACTCATGCTTGCCAGGCAGATGCTATACCACTGAGCTACATTTTCACCTTGCATTTTTTTTTTCTAAACAACAAAAACAACAGCAGAAGAAGCACTGTACAGTGTCTTTTTAGAGAGCTGGTTTTTTTGTCAGTTTGGAAAGTGCCACGTCAAGCCTTCTTTCTGGTCACGTTGAAGGGATGGTTCACATGTAACCCACCCAGGTCCCTGCCAGGGGCTTATGGGCCATGTCCTCCTGTGGTCACCAGCAGTGCCTGGGAAATACCCACAGACACACATCCTCTCTCACGTGTGCATGGACACCAGCTCACTTTCACTCTTGACAGAAGAGACCACCATCCTTTCATATCTGCACTTTGTATGACTGTGCGTGAATGTGTGTGTTTAAGAAAAATCCAGCTGTGTGGTTTCTCTACTGTGGTGGTCTAATTCCTGCCTCCCTTTTGGAATCAAGTGTAGGAGGTTACTTGATAGTTCCAAATCAGTTTGGAACACTTAATTTTCAAATGTTTGTTTTCTTTCCCTAACTTTCCAGAACGTATACTTTTTTTAAAAAAAAAAAAAAGAAAGAATAATAATAAAGGGAACAAATCAGTAAAAGTTATTAAATTATAAACTAAGTGCTCTTCCTCAGGAGTTAGACAGAAACAAAGAAGGGTCTAGCCTCTCAACGCTGTCTGAAGTAGAAAGCTCGGTGCTATATCACTTTAGACTTCTCAGTGCACCTCGGGGCTTCCTCTCTCCCAACCATGGGCCATGGGATGCAGCATCTGCTGGGCAGGAAGTGAGATCTCACCTGGGCTGGATGGGTGAGCAAAGGTGTGCTCAGCTGCCTGGCTAGCAAGACTTGGAAATTCCTGTAAATATCTTGCTGTGTCCGTTCTTATGGAACTGAGGAAGGCTGAGTGTGTCCAAGGAGTTTCTTTCTTGGGGCCTGTGAGGCAGCCATCACTAGTTTAGTTTTGCAAAGGAAATTCCATCATTTCTTACTCCCACCAGAGTTGCCAAACTGCCCCCAGATTTGAAGCCTTTGGGTTACATGGACTCTGCCACAAGGTATGATAGGTATCTTTGGATAGATTAAATGCCTCTCCTTATGCCTTTTTTCTTGTAGGAAGAGACTGGATTATGTGAACCATGCCAGAAGGCTGGCTGAAGACGACTGGACAGGGATGGAGAGTGAGGATGAAGACACGAAAGATGACGAAGAAATGGACATTGACACTGGCAAGAAGCTACCAAAGCGCTATGCTAATCAAGTGAGTGGGCCAGAGATGACCAGACCCCCACCCTTGTCCTGACTCCCTTCACCTTTGGTCATAGCCCACTGACATTGCTGCTGCTATAAAGAGGGGATGAGGTGGGGAAAAGGATAGGAATGGCCCGGAGAGGCTGCAGTGTGTGTAGGCAGTGGTATGGAATGGCTTGTGTGTGTTGGGAAGGCTATGAGTTTGTCCTCTACTGCCACACTCTGTCCCAGGCTCCATTGTGTCCCCCCAACAGTGTCCCCCTTCCTGGTTGCTAGCCTGGCCCAGGTGGTACACTAGGAGGCCTGGCTCTTCACATTTGGTGGTGGCAGGCAGGAAGCACAGCTGCCCTTGAAGGTGAGCGCCCCACATCCAGCCAGCTGGCTAAGGTCAGGCTGAGCCATGGAGCAGTGTATCACTGTGACAGACGTGACCAAGAGCCCTGTTAGATCTGGAGAGAAGATGGTGGTGTGGTGCTGAGCAGGACAGGAGGACGTGGTAGTGGACTGCGTGAGGGAGGCGGTGTGCAAACTGGTTAAGCACAAGTTGGCTCTGTGTTGACCTTGAGCCAGTGACTTTGAGCCCGCTGGGTCTTGAATCCAGGACCTTGCTTGTGCTGAGGCAGCTCTCTGCCACCAAGGCATTCTGCCTTCTCCCATGCAGGCATGTGCCACCTCACCCAGCTTGGCTTCAGGTTTGGATTGGCATTTCCCAGTGGCTGATGATGTTGAGGAGCTTTTTTCTTTCTTTCTTTTTTTTTTTT